GTGTGCTCCTAGTAACTCTGGAAAATTACAGTGCTCTCTAGTTTGGAATACACTGATAACTTTTCAAAACTTGTGCAACATTTTATGCAATGAGAAATGACTTTTCTTGGCAGTGGAATGCCAGTAAAGACTCTAATAGTGACCCTCAGATTTCCCCTGTGCTCCCCAGTAGTCCTGCTTCATCACCTCGCACTAGTCCACACCTTTTCTCTCTCGTCCAACTCCCACACCCTTCTCCACTATCAGCTGATCATCTCGCTTCTTAGTCCACTAAGAAAACAGAATCACTCAGACAAGGGCTCCCTGCATTTCCCTCCACCGCAGACCAGCCTCCCTGCACATCCCCACCATAACTTACTTCCTGTTGCTAGGGATGAACTGGCCCTACCCTTTAGATAAGGCCCACTGTCTGACTCAAGAACATCACTCCAGAAGTTATCCCCCGTCTCTTTTACATCAACGGTTTTCCCTCTTGACAGAATTATTCCCAGCAAGGAGCTCTAATTTCTCCCATGACCCTCTACCCTCTTGCCCATTTTCTCTTTCACAGCAAAGCTCCTCTAAAAAGTGCTCTACACCCATTGCCTCCCCTTCTCCTTGCCCCACTCTCAAATCCACTCTAGCCAGGGTTTGTCCCTAGCACTCCTCTGTGTCAGATGCCAAATTTAAAAGTCAGTGATGTGTTCTCATTTATGAGCTGACCCGTCAGCAGCACTGACACAACTGATTACTCCCTGCTTCTCCAAACACCAGGATGCTACACTCCCCTGTCCCCTTCTCTCTAACTGGCTGCTGTTTCTCAGCCACCTTGGCCAGATCTTCTCCATTTTCTTCATCTTCTGACCTCTAAATGTTAGAGTGCTCCAGGTCTCAATCCTCAGAACTCTTATCCACCTATGTTCCCAGATTCTCTATGCTGATGACACAGATTACTATCTCCAGTCTGGACCTCTCTCCTGAAGTTTCGATGTCCGTGTTTAATTGCCTAATCAACTTTTCCACTTAGATGTCTCATAGGCATCAGAAATTTACTGTATCCAAACCCAAACACCTGAGCTCCTCCCACCCCCATATCTGCTCCTCCTGTAGCCTTCTCCATACCAGTAAGTGGAATCTTCATCCATCAGCTGTTCAGGCTAAAATTCAGAATTTCCTTTGACTCTTCTTTCTCTCACATCCTACAATTGCGTCAGTTAAGTCCTGTCTGGTTTATTCTGAATGTATATCTAGATTCCAGTTACAGCTACCATGTAATCCGAATTACCATCACCTCTCTCTTAGCCTATCTATCTCAGTAGCTTCTACCTGGTCCCTGTTCCACTCTTGCACTCCCTTCCACTTAGCAAACAGAATGGTCTTTCAGGAGATAAAGCCAGGTCATGTCCTTTCTCTGCAGAAACCTTTATAAATGTCTTCCAGTTTCACCTAAATATAAAGCTGCTAGCTATACCTCTGGCATCATCTCCTGCTAGTTTCCCCTGGAGCACGCCAAGTCCACTCTACCTCAGCACCTTTGCACGTGCTCTTCACCGTATCTGAAAACCTTTCTCCCAAGATAGCTGCAGAGCTTGCCCCTCACTTCATTCACCTCTGCTCAGATGTCCTCTCATCAGGGATATCGTCCCTGACCCAACCATCCAATCTAAGAATGGCACCATCCCATCTCTCCTGAGCTCCTTTACCTACTTTATTTGCTTTCATAGCACTCTTCACTTCCAGGTATTATAGCATACCATATATATATATATATATATATACACACATATATATATGTGTGTATATATATATATATATACATATATATATATATATATATATATATATATGGGGAGAGAGAGAAAGAGATGGGGGGGGAGAGGCCCATTGTCTGTCTCCCTCCCCATCTCAATCTTATTACTAAAATGATAATCTACATCCAAGCTTAGAGAATAGCACCTGCCACACAATAGATGGCTCAACAATTGTTGAAGAAATCACCACTCTAAGCTATTCAAATTTCATCAGTTCTCCTAAATGTCACCCGTGCAGTACTGAGCTGAGGTTTTATGGTTTAGGTACACTTCAAGACATCTGGTTTTCAAATAATAAACCTTAGTTGTAATTCCAAGGAATTTGCCCAATGAATAGAATTCAGTTTCTTCTTCATGGAACTTCCTTCAGTACATTGGCTCCTCCTGGCTTTGGCATTCTCTGTCTAAACATCCCATTCCACTCTCTTTCACTGGATGTTAGCTTTGCCCTGCTATGTCTTATTTGAAGTACCACATTTAAAATTCTGCCTAAGAAAAACCATTGTATCTTTTCAACATCATCAGATACTATACCAGAATGCTGGGGAGCAAAAACATCTAAGACCCAAGAGCTGCTTCCTTCTTTCTTTTGTCTTCCTTTCTCATCTTTTTGTTTCTGGGATATTTTAATTTTTCCTATTTTGTAAGATCAAGGTGATTTACAGAAGTAAAGTTTACTGACTTCAATGCTATGGTGCAAAGTTATGGTCCCTGGAAATCATATCCTGCTTAGAAATGTATCACAGATGAAGCCCATATTCTGGACCAGCACACACATGTAATTATGTAGGAAAAGAAAAAGTATATCAGAGAAGGTTGAATGTTGCAAGCATGGGAAATAAGTTGACCTCTACTCAAGTTACTGCCCTCGATACACAGAGGGGAGGGTCTGCATCTGTTTCACATTGTAGATGACTGAAGTGCCCACAGCAGCACCACAGACCCAGGGAATGGCCAGCAAACGTTCTCGAGGAAGGTGCTAGTCCATCCCCAGCCTCACCTCTGTGGCCATACTGTTAAAAGAGTGTCCAGTACTTGACTTACGATCCTAATTTTGTATAATTCTGTATATGTTTTACAGGGTTTAATCCAAATGACCCATTTCTAACTATTGAGAATAAAATAACTCCCTACTAGAGTTCAAGCTCCTCTAAGGCAAAGATTTTGTCATATTCACAGCCACACAGACACCTGATTGCAGTATTGGATGTGACCTTAGAGGTCAACTAGTTCTAATCCAACCTCCTTGAGTGAGTAGATAATACAATCTATCCCAGCTCCATTAGGTTTTTTTCTTCTCTAATTGCTATCCCATCTCATACTTGAAAATTTCAAACTGAAGCAGCTCTGGTTTGAGTCTTTGGCAAATAGACAAATTGAAATGACCGCATACCCTTTGTTATATCCATCTGGGACCAGAAACAAGGTGGCAAGGTCAGCTTGCAGCAGCGTCCCTGCCACCCCCACCCCCATGATGATGTGCCTAACTCCAGTTGCAGCTGGGCAGCCATGGCCTGCTTGAAAAGAAATGAATTTTCATGACCCTCATAGAAATCTTCTCAAGCCTGGCTTTTGTGAGAAAAACATGTAGTGGTGCTTATTAAAATGCATAAAGTTATCACACTGATGTTCTCATACTTACAAGAATAAGGAATACAGAAACATCACCCTCCATCAGATTATAAGAAATGACCCGACCAGGGCAGACCAGGGATCAGTATTCTCTGTCCTTGCCAGGGGGCCACACAGGGACCTCAGAAGCAGAGTGTTTCATCTAAAAGGACCCCAGACCCAAAGTCAGCAGACCTAGGACTGCTCCTAGCTCTGAGACTTTTCCTCATCTGAACACTGGCGAGGCTAGCAAAGAAAATCTCCCAGGGTGGCTCCAGGGCTACAATACAGGTTGAAGCTCTGCAATAATACCAGAAATATTAGCTTGGCCCTTCAGCTTCCTTTCCACCATCTCTTAGCTTTCCACACAGACATTCAAAAATTGGGCCTTTTAAAACCCTGCCCTCAAACGAAGGTGGTTCAGAGCAACACTTTGGCTGATATCACAAGACTCCCAGGGCAATGCTTCACTGCTTCCTCAGCATATGCCAGTGCCCATTTTACGGGGGGGGGGGGGGGGATTTATGATCTTTCTCTCAGTAGAGCGAGCCAAAGTTTTATAATATTCATTAAAAATCAGCACCACATGTAATAATATGGAATACTGCCTGTACACAAGGGGGCCAAGTTATAGGTGTTCAGGGAAACGTGGCAGAATTTCCTGGCCTTGGCAGGGGTAAATTTGCAGGCACCAGCACTACTCTAACACAACCTTCTTTTATTGCAAATGTTCGTTCAGTCTAAGTCCTAATTACTTTCTGTAAAATGCTAACCACTATCAAGCTTTCTTCTGACAGGACAGCCACACGATGGCCTTAAAATGCAGCAGCAACACCCTGGCAGCCTCAAAAGTGAGAGGCAGGGGAAAGGCTGGAACCCAGTAGGAGTTGGGGCTGAAGCTAGGGAGACTGGCTTTTCCGCGCTCCTTCTAAAATCCTGGTGTTGCGGGGCGCTTAGAGGTTCCATCAGCGGGACAGGCCGAGGCCCTCCAAAAGAATTCAAACGTCAACATCGCTATTGGGTCGGGAGCTACTCTTCTTCGTCCCATCTCCACCAAAAGGGGGCCGGGTCAGCTTTGTGGGGGCCCCTGGAGCATCTTTTCTTGCCCCTCCTGAGAAATGCTAGACAACGCAAGAATCCCAGGTCTGGGTCTAGTGCCCGGGCTCTGCCCGCCTCCCCACGTGCCACACCAGCCCTCACCACACAAGCCCCCCGCACCCCACTAGCCCCCAGCCCTTGCCTTTCAAGCCCCTGCGCGTCCCGGGTCAGGCCGGACAGAGTCGGGCGGTCAGCTGGGGCGGGAGCAGGGGGGCTCTCTAGGCCGCATGGCCGCACAAAGCCCGGAGAGCGGCGGCGGCGGCGTGAGGCGCGCCCCCTCCCGCGAGCCGGCGGAGCGCGCGCGCCCGCCCTCGCCCCCCGCCCCAGCCCCCGGTCAGCTGGGGCGGGAGCAGGGGGCTCTCTAGGCCGCATGGCCGCACAAAGCCCGGAGAGCGGCGGCGGCGGCGTGAGGCGCGCCCCCTCCCGCGAGCCGGAGGAGCGCGCGCGCCCGCCCTCGCCCCCCGCCCCAGCCCCCGGAGCGCCATTCGCGGAGCGACTTACGCTAGTCGCCAGGCGTACGGCGCCCCAGCGGCCGGGGAGGTGCGCTGCCCGGCTCCCGTAAAGTTATTGTGAATGGGGAGCGGGTGACGTCAGCGCCGAATGTCAACAATGTAGCGATTGAGAGTGTGGGCGTTCCGGGGAGAGCGCGAGCTGCGCTGCGCGGAGCAAACAGCGCCGAGCCGCCGCCGCCTCGCCAGCCGCAGCAGTAGCAGCAGCGACCGTGCACGCCCGGGCTGCGATCGCAGCCGCGCTAACGTGAGCGCCCGCCGCCGCCCTCGCCACCCGCCTGCCCACTCCCGCTGCCGCCGGGGCTCTCGCTTTCTCCCCGGCCTCCCTTCGATCATTCCCCTCCCCCTTCCCGGCACACTCGGGGGGTTGGGAACGAGCTGCCATGTGATGCGTGTCCTCTCCTCGAGCTTTCGGTGACCCTCCGAACCGCCCACCGCGCCGGCCTCCGGGAGGGGGCTGCGGGCTGGGAAGACGCGGGGAAGAGGAGGCGGAAAAGAACGCAAAGTTCTCTGGTGAGGTGAGTCCCCGGCTCCGGGCTCCGGCGCCGGGCGGGGCAGGGCGGCGGGGCAAGTTTGTGGGGGCAGCGGGTGAGCGGGGCAGGCGGGGAGGCGTGGGGAAGAGGCGCGGGAAGACAGCCGCGATCGCCGGCGCGCAGCCGCCTGCTGAGCGCCCTGCCCGCTTTTATGGCATTTTCTAGGAACGGGAAAGGGCTGGGAGCCGAGCGGGCGGACGCGCCGCGGCAAATGTGCGCCCTCTCGCCTGGCTGTTTACCGCGGGTGAGGCGGCATTGTATTTTGTTCGCGTCGACGAGTGTTTTGGAACAGTAGGGGGAGGAGGAGCAGAGGGTAATAAGTCAGGCGTGGGGAGGGCGGGCTGGAGGGAGGCGCGCGTCCGCGCGAGCCGGAGCAGCTGTCAGCCCCACGACCCGGAGAGGCCCGGGCGGCCCCGGCCCCCAGCCCGTGGTCTCCGCGCCGGGCCAGACCGCCTCCAACCTGCCCGTGGCGTCAGCACCCGGTGCTGCGCTGCAAAGACCCTGGTCGCCGCGCTTTTGCGTTTAGCTGTCAGTGGCCGCGGGAGAGTCGGGACCACTGCGACTGGCAGGGCATCAAAGCTCAAGTTTAGAGTCCGGGGAAGAGGCAGATTGGGGCCTGGCAGCGCCGACCTCGGGCTGCGCGCTGGGTGGAATCCCTACTAGCCGGTGACCGGGTTATCGGAATGCGTCTCTGGGAAGGCAAACCGAGGGCTCGTGCCATCAGCGAGGCGAAGCTTGCGTATCCCTCCTCCCAAGATTCTACGTGAAATCAAAGTCAAACATACACACACATATCCTCTTCTCCCTCCCCACACTTCAGTCTCCAAGTCCCAGAAGCTCCACCTAAGGAGAGGAGTTTATCCAGAGGACACCCCTGTACCTCCCCCTGCGGAGGCGCCCGGTGGGTCCCGCAGTTCTCCTCTCACCGGGTGGGTGCTCAGGAGTCGAGCGCCGTTGGAGAGGGCGGCGGGCGGCGCTCACGGACTACCCCAGCTGCCCGCAAGAGGGGACTCTAGTGAGCATCTCGGCGACCTCGGTCTGGGCGAGGATTTGCAGGAACTCGGACCGTGGGAGGAAGCGGGCAGGGCCGAGTGTATGTGTGTGAAAGGGGCAGCGCTCCTCTGGCTTCGGGGGTCTTGGGTACGCGGGGTATCCTCAGCACCCTCTCACGTGTAGGCGAGTTTGACAACTTGGGGCAAGTTCCGGCCCAGCCGCTATCGGGATGGGTTTGTCTGTGGCCGGAGAAAGCGCGCCTTAGCAGCTCGCGGTCACCAAATCCGTGGCCCCTGGGAAACGAGAGAGGCTAGGGTGCCCCACCTCCGACTGAGCCACAGACTCCCGGACAGCCGGCAGATAGCGAGACACGGCGTTCCTGGCTTTTCACTTTCGCTGTCTAGTGCTGTAGTCTCTCACTCTGTGTAAATTTCATCTGTTGAGTGTATTTTACTAAAAAGGGTAATTACTTTAGATACAAAATCCTTTCCTGCCTCGTAGGAACCTTGGCGGAGATGATGCCTAATGAGATATTTTGCTTTTGTCTGTTTAGAGTAAAATTAGAGATGTTAAAACTCTGATAACGGTTTTCTCAGATCATTAAAATGTAACGTGTAGGAAAGGCATGTCGAGCTGCGACGGCTCCGGCTGACATGAAAGAAGCTGAGCATGAAAGGCTGGCTGCCACTTCTGGTGGAGAGGGCTATTTTCGTAAGGCAGAAAAAGTCTTGCTTAAAATGTGAGATTGCCCCACCCTGGTTCTCCGACAGCCGTCGAGTAAACGGCATTTTTCATTCTTGCAGGTAATAATAAACGTGAGTCAAAATGACATCTTGTTAGAATTAGTCTTTAGTCTGTAAGAGAGATTGCTAAATTACAGTGTTGCATTCAAACTGCTCCAGTGAAAGATCTGTCATCATTTCTATTATAAATTCAGTTGTTCAGGAGTTTATAATTTCACCACAAAACTTTGAGTGGCTGAAATGTTTTTTTTTTCCTTCTAGTGTTCTGGTTTTAAGAATACATACATTAATTGCCCACTTCCATCCTATTTGCTATTCATGAAAATTGAAAAGCATTCAAATGGGGGTCCCAGAAATGGAATACACAACCATGGAATAAAGTACTTTTGTTAGAACATACTTTATTTGTGCAGAGCAGTATTTTCGTTTTTGGATTTTGGAAGGCTTTAGGTTTGCCATTTGGTAATCATAAATGTGTTGAATTAATTCTTCTGGTATCTGTGGATTCTGCAGGTGGATTGAAATGTCAGTTCGTATAGTATATGCCAGGATTATAGCTAGAAACATTCCCCTCATATATGTGTATATCTGAACTCATCGCTAAATTATGAACACCCCTGTTAGTTACTTTTCAGTTTTTTGTATGTTGCTGCATTTGCGGATCTGCCATAGAGAATGAGTAAGGCAGAAAAGGGAGGGAGGGAATCGGGACACCCCCCCACCCAATTCACTTTTCAGGACTACTAGTGCCTAGGAGGAAGCCATTTATTCTTTCTATTGAATTATGCTTTTGACCCAGTGTCTTCAGGCAAGTCCCTTCCAGTGGCTCATCTCTGGCTGCTGTGTGAGGGACTTAATTATTTGCAAACTGCCTTGAAATCCCTGGATGAAAGGCACTGCATAAGTGCAGAGTATTGCTATTCAGATATGGAATTTAATGATCCATTACAGTTCATCAGGAAAATGCACTTTGCAGCGATAGTAGGAAACGTTTCCACCTGATAGAGGGTAATAATAACTGCTTAAAAGTAGGTTCAGATTACAGATGAGACAATTAACTCTAGCCATGTGCTCTTCAATTTGTTGCAATTCATTTTGTGATCAAAGTGAGTCGCAGAGAGCCAGATGGTCAGGTTCATGTTCAAATCTCTCCTAGGCCACCCCTTCACTTCTGGGACCACTATCTGCACAGCCGACAGGACTTACTCATTAGCGCTGTGAGCTGTTCCTCAGAATTTGTGATCGAGGCTCCTGTGATGCCAACAAAAGGACTCAGGCCAATCTATTGTTGGGAGCAGTTTAATTTTACTTGGATTAACTAGTGCTTAGTGTCCCTGGTATGGATCCAGCCTTAACAAGGGAAACGAGAGATCCCAGTGGCTCTCTAGCTCAGCTGTGCCAGGCTCCACTGCCCTACTTTTTGTACCTCAGATTTTAGGGGCTGTGGTGCCTGGCTTGTTGTAAATGCTGGCATGATGCTGAATGAATGACAGAATACTGAGATAAATAAATACCCTTCCTGTTTGGCGGAGGGGGTGGGGAACAGGACCAGCTTCAAGGGCTTGTGACCTGCACCATTGCACAGGGCCCCCTCCCCCTCATCTGCTCAGAAGGACCTCACGCTTGGTTTAACCTTCTGCTGTTGTCTCCTTGAAACTTGAATCATTTTTGAACACAGGGCCCTTCATTTTCATTTTTCATTTGTCCTGGTGAGGGAGCAGGGCATAGACTGGAGTGGCAGGTAACCACTACTTTGTTTCAGCTCCTTTTTTGTTGACTGTTGCCAGGTGGAAATGGGTGGGAATGCTGGCTTTGTGTTAGTATGCCATCTGATTTTCCCAAGGGAAGCTGGGTATCTGGATTTTTATGTGGAATCCCCTAATTTTTAAATACTAGCTAAAAAAATTTTTTTTTGAATGTTGGATGAGAACATATGTAAGAGCTAAAGCTGGCCTGCAGGCTTCCACCACTGAACAGGATAATACATCTTGTTGCTTAATATTTCCACATTTGGCTATTTTTTCTAAAAGCCTGGCACACTGTAGACAACTTGAGTCTCCACCAAATGAATGGTTACAGGTATCAGGGAAGTTGAAAGATGCAAGAAAAACAAAACTCAAAATCAACATTGAGTGCCACTCAGGGATTGATAGCTTTCCTTTTAGTAGAGACTACAACATGAAAGGCCAAATAATTAATACCATAGGCACCCTGTAATCCTCTGTAGGTAAATCATCCATTGCTTTTGAACCACCTGCCCTCTGTTTAGCTCTTATTGACCAGATGGAGTAACTTGGCTCTTTTAATGCTTGAGGACCTCCATGAAAATTTGATATTTGAGAACACCCACTCAAATAATAGCTGTGATTTATTGAGTGTTCACCATATGCCAGAAACAGTGCTAACTACACCTGTACGAAGCTCACTGGCTCCTCAAAGCAGCCCTGTGATGTAGGCATTGGGTCCATTCTACGGAAGAGGAAGTTTCTCATTTTATGTTGGAAAGAATTTCATCTGAATGCAGTATGTGTTTTCTTGACTGTCTAAAGGTTATTTTATTGGGTTGTCGGAAAAGTCATGATGTATTTTTTTCTGTTTTTCGTTGCAAAAATGTGTCATGACTTTTCTGACAACCCAATACCATCCTATATCCACAGTCCAGCCCTGAGGCAGTCAGTGCCTGGCCATGGGGTAGGGAACCCAGCATACGGAGAACATGGTCCCTATCCTCATGTACAAGGAACAGAGAACAATACAAGGTGTAACAGATTTGTCAGAATCTACGAGGCCGATACCAAACATGTCTTCTGCCCCCCTATTCCTCTCCTTTCCCTATCTGGATGTTGAAGACGCTCCAGTGACATGTGACCCTATCACAGGTTCCAGCTGTTCAGAAGTCAGGGCTGGCTGCAAACACTGGCATTTCTTTGGAAAAGAAGATATCTTTGGCACACCTGGAGCGATGTGAGGGAAAGCAGCACCAAGGGCTTGGGAATGATGGAAAGTCACTCCTGTATTATCAGTGACAGTGTATGATCTATTCCTGTTCCACCTTTACATTTTACGTAAATATTTACAAACTGTTCAAGTTCAAACTGAAACCTGCTGTAAACTAAACATTTTGTAAACTCCATAAGATTATCCAGAATATTACTTATCTTCGTTTTTTGTTTTATGTTTTTTTTTGGCCTGGGACATTTAATAGAAAAGTAGTTCTTTGTTAATGCGGATTTTTTCCTTTTATTTCCC